ATGATAAAAAACTGGAAGTTATTAACTTTCTTAAACACTGATGACAAGCTTTTAGTAAACATCTTGCTGAGAAGTTGGCAAGAATGGCAGATTAAGTGTCACAAAGCCCGACAGCATGCCAGAAAGAAGTGGGAAGCAGCTGACTGGTGAAATCAGAACTCACAGAACATTCCAGAGGAATGCAGGAAAACATCCCTTTCTCCAATGGTGGCAAAGGGTGAGGAAGGAAGTTGAGAAGGCTCAGCACGCCAGGATAGAGTTCTATTTTATGCAAATCACCCCCAGTAAACCGTAGAGGGTGTTCACCGCACTTGGGCTGAAGCTACAGTGAGAGCCTAGCAACGTCCTCCTCAACTATCGCCCATGGAGGTGACCGGGGATTCTGCTCAAGAACACGGTGATCTTACACTAAGAACTACAGAGATCTGGGGTGGCTTCTTCAAAGAGGGCTGGGCCAGGAACAGGGACAGTGGCCTACTTGTGTGTCCAGGAATCTGGGGCTCGTCTTAGCCACTTTGGGACGAGGAAGACTACGTGCCCTAAGAACTTGTCTGTTTTTGAACAGGGCTGTAGTGAGGGACAGAAGGTGGCATTTCCCAAGGCAGTTCACTTTGAAAAATGCCAATCTTATTTCAGCTCAACGAGGAGACAAAAAAACAGAACCAAACAGAGAGTGAGGGGAACAACTGCCCGTGGAGGACCGATGTGGCAGCAGCTGTGGCCAGCCCGGGCAAGGGAAGGGGAAGGAGGAGCCAGCTCAGGTCGGGGAGACAGGAGCGAAAACTGGAAAGGAAAGAGGTCAGCCAGAACTGCTGACTCCTCCTGTATCCCCCACGCCCCACTTCCCACCCTGAGCTTGTTGTTGTCGCCAGAAGCTTTACTTTGCTCATATGTATGGTCTCTTTAAAACGAAAAGTGGGAAGGTTATTTGCTATGTTAGGTCAAGAAAAAGCTTTTGAACTTGGAGACCACAATTTTTTCTTTAATATCCTGACAATCAAGGTGTCATACTAGCTGAGGAGTGGGTCCTTATACGTCATAAAATAAAACCATTTGATCATCTTTTAGTTCTACAACATACATGTGACATTTATGTGACCAGCATTCCATGGGGTAGAGAATTAAAATGACAAGTGAGGATACGTGAACTATAGGGCCTTTTAAAAGGAAATATAACTCAAATATGAAAAAAGTAGCATCTAGTCTTAAAAGGTATTGTGAGATAATAGAATATATATATATCGGTCTCTGTCCCCAGTTCTTGGCACAGAGCTCCTGAAATCCTTGTAATTTTCTAAATGATAAGAACATTAGGAGCAACTCTTGTTCTAATATTTGGTCTTTGACCCCGTCCCTGACACAGGGCTCCTAAAATCTCGTAAATTCCTTAGTGATAAGAGCACTGGGAGCATCTTTTCCTTCTATTGAGGCAACTCTGGGTGGGCTCCTGGATGGCGGCTGGTCACCAGCAAGACCAAGCCATGATTAGAAGCAGGGAATGTTCAACCCCATCCCTCATCCTCCAGAGAGGGGAAAGGGCCTAGAAACGGAGTTAATAAGCGATCATGCCTACATGAGGAAGTCTCCCTCAAATCCCAATAGTAGGGGGTTCGAAGAGCTTCCAGGTGGGTGAACACATCCACCTACTGGGGGGGTGACGCACCACAACTCCACCCAGACAGAAGCGCCTGTGCTTGGGACCCTCCCAGACCTCGCCCTGTGTATCTCTTCATCTGGCTGTTCATCTGTATCCTTTATTATATCCTTTAATAAACTGGTAAACGCAAGTGTTTCCCTGAGTTCTTTGAGCCACTCTAGCAAATTAATTGAACCCAAGTAGGGGGTCATGGGAACCTCTGATCTACAGCCTGTTGGTCAGAAGCTCAGGTGACAACCTGGACTTGTGACAGGCATCTGAAGTGAGGGAAGTGGGGGCTGTCTTGCGGGACTGAGCTCTTAACGTGTGGGATCCGACACTATCCCCAGGTAGATAGTGTTAGAATTGAGTTAAATTGTAGGACACCCAGCTGGTGTCACAGAGAATGACTCGTTGTGGGGAAAACCTCCACACGTTTGTTGACCAGAAGTGTCAGAAGTAAAGAGTTCTGTGTGAGTAGTAAAGGAGACTCACAGGAGAGAAACACAGAAGGGAAGAACTAGGTTTTTCCTACATAGGAAGGAAAAAAATCTGAGTTTTTCCATTAAAGAGCTATATAAGCTATACCTCAGCACATCACGTACAATTCTAGAAAAACAAGGGGAATGAGCATAGAAAATATGAGCAGGCCAGAGAGGGTGAAGCAAGAGTCCACACTCAAGTGCAATGCTATGAACATGAAGAATTCTTATTCACTTTAGAAGGAATATGATGTGAAAAGAAACTGAGAATGAAAGCAGAGGAGTATGAAATGAATCTGAATATCACTATGAGGAAATGAGACATAATTTATTAGGCAGTTATTTCTGAGTTTAATTTCCTTATGCATTAGTGATGTGGTTCCCACCATTCAAATAAACAGAGCTGAATATAAGGAAAATAAAGACATTTTAAAGATGTTTCAGGAAACAGAAGAATGGAAGTTTCGCAGGCAAGTCATACGTAACGTTGTACAGAACAAACTGAATTACAGCTAATATGAAACCCTAAGGCAGGAAAAATCACATTTGGCCAAGAGAAGGGGCTGAGGAACAGGTGACAGACAGCAGACTGGTCTCTGAAATGTCACAGCAACAGGCTTTTCAAGTTAGCTCTCAACGACCTGGGGCAGGCCGGGAGGGAATCTACTGCTATAATCAAAATGATGTATGAGTTCTGTTCAAAGAAAACGGGAAGGAGGAGAAAAGAACTGTGATCCTGGAACAGCAGAAACACTGAATCCTATTTATGTGAGAAAGGAGTCAGTCAACCAATCAATAAAGTGCATGTAAAAAGAAGAGGACCCAAGAGGTGACAGAAAGACAGTCAAATTTACTGCCCTACATTCTTAAGAAAATGATATGCTAACATTAGTAGAAATTTGGGTAAGTGTGGCTGCAGAGAAACAACTTCGAATATGCAAATATAACAAGTATATAACTTAAATTACTGTAAGGCTCAAGTATGACACTATATGTGAGGCCATCTGTTAAACGTCAAGTCTATACATCCGTCAGGCAGCGTGATGACCAAGGGGGACAGCCAGGTCCACATACCTGTAATCCACAGAGACATTTAATAGCTTTTTAAACCAAGCAGTCTTAATGATCTGCCCAGGAAATCCTGGTGAATGTTGCTAACAGTAATATGGCTAACAGAATTGACTGACTTGAATTGTAAGCATGTTTGATTTACCTGTCCACCCCCTTTGCCAGAAGGGCTAATAAGCAGAGGAGTGGTCACTGAAGCAGAAGGAAGAGGAGTAGTACCACGAATAACCCGTCAGCAGAAGCACTAGCACCTGGACAATTAACATCCGACTGTACTGGCAAAGGATTAAACACTCCAGAGTTGACAATACTCTGTCTTCATGTACCTAATGTTTAATTACTGAAAGTACATAGTCACCTCTTTAAGAATGTGAATGAGTTACTATTAGGAAGAAATTCTAGGTCACTTGAGACTACTGGGAAGTTAAAACTATGAGTTGTTGGTCAAAATGAAAAGGAAATAGTGTATACACAAAAGAAAGGGAGGAAGAAATACAGGCTAAAAATGATTTGTAGAAAGAACTCTGAAATGAACGAAGAGCTCACAGGGTATTATAAATAAAGTAACTTTTCCTTACTCCATAAACAGTTAAGAGCGAGAACAGAAGGCAATATGAGACAGTAGAGTTACTTGCCTGTTTTTCTTTAACTTTTTTTAAAAAGAAATGAGATCACTCTAAAAAAGTGTGCGATTGTTTTATATTCATCTTGCATAGGAAGTTTAGACATCTTCAAGTAGTGGGAGAGCTTAAAAAAAAAAGCCTGTGGATCTGCAAATTCCATATGAATGTAACAAAAATAATATCAATGTAACAAAAATAATAACTTATCTTAATAAACTTTGGTTAAAAACTCATTAGCTATGTGCATTTTTCTGTATGTATATCATAAGTCAATAAAAAGTTAAAAAAATCTCATTAGTTGAAACACAAATAAAACTGTCAAAATAAATCCTGAAAAACAAAATGGCTTGACAGGGATTTCAGAAGAACAGAGGACAAAGAAAACACCAGAATAATGCTAATGGATAAGTGCATTTCACAAGCCCCAAAGAATCCAGTAACGTTGGTGATAGGTTACTGGATTGAAAAACTGAAAAATGAATCCTCCTGGTGACTATAGATACTCTAACTCCAGGTGACATCAGCAAGAAATAACTGACTTTTAAAAAGCAAAAGACATATCGGGAAACAACCTCCTTCCCTAATACCAGAAAATAAAACCTTAGTTGTGGATTCAGACCCATGGTGGTGATGGCTTTCTCCCCACCAGTTCTTACGATGAGTATCCCTGGGTATCTACCACCCCAGGCCCCCAGCAGAGCACTCAGCTCCTAGAACCACTAGACTCAGCACATTTGGGAATTTCCATTAATACTGGTGGGCTGGGTGGAAACAAGTTTGTTTGTCCTGGTCCTATAAAGATCAGACTGCTCTGGGAATGAATTAACGTCCCCCATTCCCCACTGGTCCCACAGTAAGGACGCAGATGTCCAGAGTTTAGAGTGCTGGATACAAACAAGATACCAAGAAAACATAACTGAGTTGCAGACCACATCCATATTCATCCAAATTTCCATGGGAACTAAGATTACAGGACTTTCTCTTTTAATCAGGCTTGTCTTTAACAACACTGCATATTTGGGATACGTTTCCCACTAGTAACCTAATTCTTACAGTAAATATGAATTTTATCTGGGCTATATGGACGTGACCTGGAGTTCCATCTTTAGCCATAACACACACGTGAGAAAGAAAAGCTGACTAGCATTTGTTAGTGCTGACATTATTTTATTTTAGTCTATAAACACTTACCTCCTTGACGCTATGCGTTACTGCCCATATTAGAAAAACTCTTGACATCACCTGGAAAGAAGTCAGGACAACAGAAGATGGAACAATTCCTGAAAGAAATTTTAGGATAGGTAAATAAATGTACTGTACTAAGTCTCAACATGTAATACATTTTCTAAAACATTCAAAATTTAATGTTTAGACACAAAACCGTCTAGAGCAACTGAAACTTGTATTGCTATACAGACTATGTTTTTCAATGTAGTCAATATTAAAAACTTTTTTCCTCCCTCAAAACAATAATATTGTTAATGGCAATAGCAAACCATGGAATCTAGGTACTCTTCTTAAACCTTTCAAAATCACTGACCAAGTACAATATTTTTTACACTTATCACATAAATAGAGAAAACAAAACCACTGCTTACTCTTTAAAATTAGACACTGAGGTTTATTTTACAATATGGGTTTCAAAAATGATTAGGCACCTATAGAAGGGAAATCAACCGTGTTTGCGTTTAATGAACAATGGACGCTCCTATATGTCAGACTTGATGTACTATCTAATGGTTAAGTTGGTATCTTTTATAATTCACTTGAAGATGTTGCCAATAAGCATAGCAAGATCAAAGTTTATCTTTATAAACCATTTCTTCTCACCTTGTTCATTATAGTAAGCATTGGGACAGTGATCCTCCCACTGTCCTCAAGTTATAACACTAGAATCTCTTTAATTACTTTAGATAATCATCAAGTTCTGCTAAGTTTACATTTCATTGGCTTTTCTCTTCAATTCCTACAACAACAATCCCTATCCAGAGACCAGCCACCACCATTATATAAAATTCTTGCCTCCTTTAGGTCATCTTAAACCCAGCAATAAACCATTATCTGTAAACATTACTTTCTCTTTGTAACTTTCCACTGGCAAGGAACTGCTCCTAAAATAAAATTTGAAGCAGAATTATGGGTATCCAATCCAGCAGCCCCCTGCCATTTCATCTGGCCTTACAGAAACGACTTACCAACTCCCTGGGCATCTCAAGTTGCACGTGGGCCGCGTGCACCCACCAGAAACCCCTCATCACGGTTGCAGATCTTTCTTCCACTTGAAAACTAACCTCATCTTCAATACATTCACTGGACTCTCCCAGACCAATTTTCATTCTTCTGAGCCCTCTAAAACATATTCAGACTTCTGAACACTTATATGGTTGGACAAACTACAACTTGCCAAAAGACAGTGTACAAATCAGATAGAGGTAAAACTGCCTCTATAGGTTTGGCTATGAAAGGAAATCACTTTATATTTCATTAAGAAAAAGAGATGCCATATTCCGTTAGTTTCTTAAAAAAGATTTGGGCTCCGAAGAGGAATGGTTTGGTTCCCAAAATCAAGTAATGTGGACATGTTGAGCAATGCTTGGCATATAAAGATGCTTAACAAATTTTTGTAGAATGAATGAAAGAAATATACATGTTGGACATATAGGTCAATGGAATAGAGTTGCGAGTCCAGAAGTAAACCCTTACATTTATAGTTACTTGATTTTCAACAAGGTTGCCAAGACAACTCAAGGAAGAAACAACTGTTTTTTCAACAAATGGTGCTGGGACAACTGGATATCCACATGCAAAAGAAAGGAGTTAGAACACTTCCTTACACCATCTACAAAAATTAACTAAAATGGATCAAAGATCTAAATGTAAGAGTTAAAACTATAAAACTCTTGGAAGAAAACATAAATGTAAATCTTTGTTCCCTTGGATTAGGCAATGGTTTATTAGATATGACACTAAAAGCATAAGAAAAAAATGAATTGGACTTCATCAAAATTAAAAACTTGTGTGCTTCAAAAGACACCATCAATAAAGTGAAAAGACAACCCACAGATAGGAGAAAATATCTGCAAATCATATACAATAAAGGACTTATATCCAAAAATATAAAAAATTCTTGTAATTCAACAATAAAAAGACAACAATGAAAACCAGGCAAAGGATTTGAATAGACATTTCTCCAAAGAAGATATGCAAATGGCCAATAAGCACATGAAAAGATGCTCAACATCATTAGTCATCAGGGAAATAGAAATCAAAACCATGAGATGTACTTCCCATGCACTAGGATGGCTATAATCAAAAAGACAGATAGGGGCTAGCCTGGTGGCATAGTGGTTAAGTTCGTGTGCTCCGCTTCAGCAGCCCGGGGTTCGCAGGTTTGGATCCTGGCACAGACCTATGCACCACCCATCAAGCCATGTGTGGCAGGCATCCCACATATAAAGTAGAGAAAGATGGGCACGGATGTTAGCCCAGGGCCCATCTTTCTCAGCAAAAAGAGGATTGGCAACAGATGTTAGCTCAGGGCTAATCTTCCTCACACACACAAAAAAAGAAAAGAAATGAAGTCCTGAAACACACTACAATGTTGATGAACCTTGAAAACATTATGCTGAGTGAAGAAGCCAGTGACAAAAGACCACATGTTACATGATTCAATTTATATGAAAAGTCCAAAATAAGCAAATTATAGGGACAGAAAGTAGATTACTGGTTACCTGGGGCTAGGTTAGCAGGGAAACTGGGAGTGACTGCAAATGGGTATGGGGTTTCTTTTTGGGGTGATGAAATGTTCTAAAGTTGATTGTGGTGATAGTTGCACAACTCTGGAAATACTGAACTGTACACTCTAAATGGGTGAATTGTATGGTATGTGAGTTATACGTGAATAACGCTTTTATAAAAATAAATAAATGTATGAACGAAGTACAAAGCAGGTGATATAATAAAGAAGCTAATTAGTCAGTCAAACATTAAGTGAATATACTTAGCCAGATCACACTTCAAATAAGAAAAACTAAAAAAGACTGATAGTCAAAAGCTTTCCTAAATGAGTTGTTAAGCATTTGCTGCTTAAGGAAAGTCCACCACTATTTCCAGCTTCTTTTTTTATAACTCAAAGATCTGCTCATCACATAAAACCATGATTTTTCCCTTTCATTTCTGTTCTTTCTTCTTTTGCCATTGAAACAATGGGCTAGATGCTAATGGTTTGAGCACTGCTCCAGGGTTGCTGCTATACTTTGGTGGGATCAAGAAGTCCAGGATCTGGACCTCAAATTTCCAGATTGAAAAACCTAATTGTATAACATTCACGAGCAAGAATCATGCTCTTGGGAGACTGACTCATACTAATCAAATCCATAGGAGACTAGTTAATAAACCAAAATGTCAATTTATTCACTCATAATAGAGGCACAGCCTTTGTAATAACTGAATGATTGGGATCTTAGACCTTCATCTAGGGATACTTTTTTCTGCTGTGAAAATCAAAATGCTTATTAACTGTGACTTTAAACAGAGGGATTTAGGAGGTCTGAGGGATAAATATTGCAATTCAGCTGAACACAGGTTTATTAATCATCCTTTCTCTACTATAAAGCTCCCTTTTCTAGGGATTATGAAGATTCATATAATTCTTCCTTTCAAAATTGCTAAACAAAGATTATCAGATTGTTCTTCTTAAAAATAAGTTTTAGTAATCAAAAACAAAGATTTACTCTTTGGGGCTATTTCCCATCAGTCTTTTCTTCTAAGTATATTTTTGAATACAGTTCAACTTCTATTGTTTATATTCTTTGCAGTTTGCTTTCCTCGTTTAACATTTTAAGAAATTCTCTATCTTACAACATATTCCTCAAAATATTTTAACTTGAGTCAGAATATTCCTTTGAGTGGAATATATTTGTTTATCTATTCTCCTTCTGTGAGACATTTACATTGCTCCAATTTCTTGATATGGTAAATGAAGTAATGAAGTATTGCAAATAACACTTAAAAATTTGTGAAGCTTAGATCTTTTTTTTTTAAAGGATTATTTCCTTGGGACAGTTCCCAGAAGGAGAACTACTAGGTCAAATGGTATGAATGCCTTTAAAGCTCTTGAAACATATTGTCAAATTGCTTTCCAAAAAGTTTGTATTAATATACACTCCCACCAGCAGTCTACAAAGGAGCCTGCCTCAGCACACCCTGACAGTAAATTCATATCTTAGTACTTTAGGGAATAAAAAGCTGATCAATGCTTTCTAATTTGATGCCGATGCAGAGATGTTTCTGGCTTCGCCTGCAGGTGCTCCTGCATTCCCCGTACAGGGAACCTGCTTAGCTAGGCACCCGAATCTTCCCCAAATGATGTCATTCATACTAAGTCTCAGTTGTTACGGCATATGAACCCACCTCAACAGTTAACCCAGCAAACAGCAGTTCAGGCCCTAGCCTGACGGCCCAATCTCAAAAGCCTGCTCTCCTGGATGAGTCAAAAGGCCAGGAGGAAGAAGGGACCCTTATACAAAGAAGACTATCCGAAGGCCGGGAGCTTCAAGTTTATCCTGGGAATCCAACCAGACAAACAATACAAGGCCACATAGATGGACCATATTATCTTAGCTCTGAACAGAACTGATATCACTGAGTTGGGTTTATTGTTATTATTAGGTGGATTTCATAAGAAATTGTTAAAAGATTATTACTTTATTTGCTGAAGGAATGGTATGCAGTATCAATATATCCACCCTATCACTCAATGCTCCTTATATAAAGCCCCAGGTGGGAAATTTGTTTTAGAACTTAATGTTAAGAAATATTTGCTCCTCTCCAATGATAGGAATTATATAACTCAGTTGCCCTTTTCACCCTGGTATCAGAAAGTTTCAAGCCAAAAATGAACGGTACCACATTATTATATTTTGTGTATGTTACCACAAATCATGGTGGAATGAGAAGTATAGACGGATAAGACAAACAAGATCCTCTTTCTTTTCTAGACTTCTTGCAGTCAATCCCTCCGTGTTCGCATTTATTATGCCATTACCCCTTATTTGATCACAACAACATAGCAGGTTAAAACTACCCGAACTGCAGACTTTTTGTTGTTGTTGATTACTTAAATCAGTTGTTTTCGGATGATGAAGAAAGATTCTGCAATCTTATCAGTAAACTATCACTAGGTCAAAATTCATTCAAAAAAGATTTACTAGGCATCTATTATTTAATTTAATTCAGCAAATATTTTTGGAGTACCTACTCTGTGCCAGTTTCTGTTCTC